CCCTCCGCCTCTGATGTGCTGCATTTTGGAAGGGCAAATCAGGGCAGGACTTGTATACCTTAATGGTAAGGTCCTGGGGAGTGTCGCTGAATAAAGAGACCTTAGAGTCCAGGTTCATAGTTCCTTGAAAGTTTCATCGCAGGTAGATAGGATAGTGAAGAAGGTGTTTGGTATGCTTGCCTTTATTGAGTATAGGAGTTGGGAGGCCATGTTGTGGCTGTACAAGGCATTGGTTAGGCGACTATTGGAATTCTGTGTGCAATTCCCTGCCATAGGAAGGATGTTGTGAAACTTGAAACATAAATAGAGACAATAGAAACTGAGTAAAATGTTGCAACTTAACTAGCAAGTTTATCAGAATAATGTAATTCCTTTGAGCATGCTTGTTGGATAACTAATTTTTGTAATACTTTATTATATAATAGCGAAACAATTAGTCTTCCGTTCCCTTTTCCACTTGGATAACTTTCTGTTCCTTTTTTATGTTCACTGATTTTTATTTTCAGAACACAGAAAAGCCCAAACTGAAAAATACTGCCAAGAATTCTATTGTTACAAATGTACTGCCTTTCTAACTGCATCATTTATTAGCCGTTATTTGCCTCATTAGCCAGGGCTTAGAATATAAAAGCAAAAAGTCTTGTTACAACTTTATAAAACATTGGTTAGGTCATAGATGGAATACTGTGTACAGTTCTGGTCACCACACTATCAAAAGGACATTAGTGCACTGGAGAGGGTGCAGAGAAGAATCACCTCCATTATAAGGAGAGATTAAATAGGCTGGGTTTTTCTTGGAACAGAGGAGGCTGAGAGGGGTTCTGATTGAATTACAGAATTTACAGAATTCTTCCCCATGGCAGGTGTGCCTAAAACCAGTGGGCATAACTTTAAGGTTAGGAGTAGGTGGTTCAGAGGAGATCTGAGAAGAATTTTTGTTTTCACAGAGGGTGGTAAATGTATAGAATATGCTGTCTGAGAGAGTGATGGAGTCTCGCAACATTTAAGAAGCATCTGGAGGAGCATTTAAAATGCCAGGGCATAGTAGGCTCTGGACCAGATGCAGGTAAATGAGAATAGTGGAGTTTGGTGTTTTTTGGTCGGCTATGGTGAGCTGAAGGGCCTGTTTATATGCTGTGAGTCTATTACTATTTGTGTTTTGAAAATTACATAGTGAAATAAATTTATCTTGTTTATTTCAGTTCAGTAAAATGCACAATCTCTGAATGCCAAAACAAATGCAGATTATGCAGCTATAAACATTGAACAAGTAATATTTGGTTAAGATTCAATATTGTTTTTAGTGGAGAATGTAGAGTCCTCTTGGAGTAGCCTGTAAATGTTCTAGTTGCATTTCTCTTCATGCATAAGACTGAGAAAAGCTGTATGTTTTTCTTAAAACCGCCAATATATTTTAGTTTTCAAAAGTTAATTTTGGATTTAATATTATTTGAAGGTTTGACATACATGCTGTTGCTTTCATTATTCCTTTTATTTGTGGTGGACATTGCGCTATTGTTAACTGTCAGAAGCTGTGTTCAAGCTACTTTTCTCACTGTGGAATTTTTCACTGCAAATCTTTCCTGAAGAAAAGAACGCTGTCTTGCATTAAATGATTTGAATTAACAAACCACTACTGGAGAGCAATGCCATTTTGCTCAATTTTTATAGTTTCATCATTTGGCCTTGCAGAACTAAAACTTAAATTAGGTGCCAGACTGGAGAATGTTTGTGGTGTTATATACTTGTTTTATGTAAAATTTAAGGAGGCAGCCTGAACTCAATCAACCACTGGTTAAAAGGAATTCTTTGTTTCACTGAATATTATGTAAACTTTGTAATGGTAAACAGCTGATCCTTTATAAGCTCGCCAACCTTAAAAATTACTTGGATAGGAAATTTGACCAGATACTTATCATACCCAATACATACCAGCTGATAATTAACGAGGTTATTACATGTTATATACAATATTATTTCACTGCATTGGAAGCTGTTGCTGTAATTGTAATTGGCACCATTCTTTCTCTATACCTGGCCTTTAGAATTCCAAGCTTGGGAGACAATCACAGTCTTGTCATTATGGAATCAAGTTAATTTTCTTGCTAATTTAATTCTCTGTTTGGAAGGCAGATATTTACTCACTGTTCATCTTTTTCTTTTATATTTTGAGAATTTGATACCTGCCAATAAAAAAAACAATTTCTTAGCATTAATATTTCATGCATTGCATGATATAATTTTGAGTGTTTTGATTAATCTTGATTGTGATTTATTTATTCAGGTGAATGTGCTGTAAAACAATAATTCTCAAACTGAGGAATGGTCACTTGGCCCTAAACGTTAACTCTGATTTCTCTCCACAGATGCTGCCAGACCTGCTGAGCTTTTCCAGCAATTTGTGTTTTAATTCTCAAACTTATTTGGTTGAAGGACCCCCTTTCATATGATGTAGTAATTATACTACTTCCCTGACAATATTGTAATATTCTAAAATGCATATATTTGTGTTACGTGTAGAGAAAACATTTAGCAAAGCATATAAAACATAGGCTTTTATTGTTGCTCTGTTCTGGGAGCACTCTTTTAGGTGTGCACTCCTGCTAGGTAAGACAGCTGACACACTGCTGTTATTGCAGCTGGCACTTTCATATGGTCTTGTAGACCCACAGGAGCATGCTCACAGATTAGACTTTGAGAATCACTGTACCAGAGGTACTGACACTCAGCCCATGGCCAGTTTGAACAAGAGGGAAAAACAGATTTTCATAGGATAGAGAGAAACACGATGGTCTTTTCTCTAGAAAGGAGAAAACTGAGGGGTCACTTGATCGAGGCCTTTTAAAATTATCAGAGGGTTTGTAGATACAGAGAAAAGACTTTGGCTTTTAGGAAATTTAAAAATATTAGGGGTCATAAATATGAAGTAATGACAAATAAATCCAGTAGGGAATTCAGGAATAGTTTTAATCAAATATTGTTTAGAATGTGGAACTTGCAACAAGGAAGAGTAGTTGAGATAAATTACATAAAAGCATTTAAGAGAAACTCAATAAAAATGAGAGGAAGAGAATTGAATATTGCTGATCAGGTTAAAGGAAGAGGAATGAAAGGAGGCTCATGTGGAACCTAAATGCAGACATAGACCAGTTGGTCTGCATCATTTGTTTCTGTGCTATAGGGTCTCTTAAAGGTTTTACAAATGACATTGTCCTCATCAACTGCTCCTCTATTAAAGATGACATCTCAGGATTTGCACGTTTCTGCCATGGATAATCATGTGACTGAACAGACCGATTCTGCACCCGCAGGTCTTTGGACACAAAGGACATGAATTTGTTAGGTCTTGAGCATAGGATTTGTTTCCTTTTTTTTTCCCTTCTCTATTGCCACTCCGCATCATCATTAAGACATTGTAACTCAAAAGTATCAAGCAGCTTGATGGACAAATTTTGTCATTTTAAACGATTGGGAAGCAAGCTTCTCCCAGTCATTAATGTCAATATTGCCACTCTTCAAGGAGAGTTGAAGAGTCTTTATAGCGTTTTCTTTGTCATTTCTTTGTCAAATGTTGATCATTTGAGACTTGATGAGACAGGACCAGACAGAAAGGTACTTTTCAGTCATATCGACACTGTGTCTGGACCTTCAAAGAAAGACACTAATGTTTATTCAACTGTCCTCTCATTGCTAGTGGAAATTCTGTAGCACTTTTATGAGCTGCTAGTACACGGTTCAGGTCTCACTGCGGTATAGGAGTGTGTTGATGACAACTGCTCTGTGCATTAGGACTTTTATTAATTTGCAGAGCTGTTTGTTGTCAAAGACTTGCTGCCTTGGTTTGTAAAATGATGAGTTGCCATAGCTGATCTAGTGTTGGATCTCCTCCTCAATAACGGCCTTTTGAAATAGCTGGCAGCAAAGGTATGGGAAATGTTCAACGTATTTACATACATGTAATATTGATGGGAGGACTGATTCTGTTCCAATTCTTTTTCCCCTAGTAATTGTTATAAAAAGTGTAAAAATACAAGGCCTCTTGGTATTAAATTTAGCTCGTGTAATTCATCAACCAAATCGTAGCTGTATGCACTCAAAATAGTTGATTGTCCAGAAGGAATTGCAGCATGATATGTACTTGAACCCTGAGTTTTGGGAATACTGAAGCTCCCTGTGTCCTGCCAAAACTCCTGTGAGCAAACCCATTCTAACTCAAAATACCCAATGCTTTTATTCAGTGCTTTTAGCACAAGGCAACTTTGAGGTATTACAAGAGCATTGTATTCCATTGGTTTATTGTAGAATATAGTGACATGAATGAACTTCAAACACAGGTTGCAGCAATTCAAAATGAAGGTTTAGGATATTGGCCATTCTCCCTGTCTTTATCTATATGCACCTTCATTATCCTTGATTAATACTTTCATTCTTTTTTTTCCCCAGTATAATTGTATACGTAATCTGCATTTGAGGACTTGGCTAAAAGAGGACACCTTGTGCTTTTACTTGTGCAGGTTTTGCATTTGCATATGAATTGTCTCTGCAGTCTGAGAAATCATTTCTTTAGCTTGTTCGAAACCAAAGGAGAAAAAATGCTCTCATTCTTACATTTTTGTTGTCTTCTGCCCAGCTGGGAATGATGGCAGGCACTGATCTCTCTCTTTTTTTTTAAATAGTTTACATGAATATTAACCAGCAACTGCTAAATAGAGCCCTTAATCACAGGCTGTTTGAATTTCAGATCAGACACTTGAAGAGAGGAGATGGTGACAGAATAGAGGCTTCAAGTGTTAGCTTGACATGATTTTCTGAATGCTGTGCCCTTTCTAAATTAGCACATTCTTGTTGTTTATCATTCTTCTTGTACTGTGAGGGTGGGTGAAAAGGATTGTGATTTAAAATGATGATCCTAGAAGAAATATATCCAAAGTTATCCCTGATGCTGTTTTTAGTCATTTTAAGGTCATATTAATTTTAGTATTACATGTTGTTTGTTCTAGGGAAATTGCTTTTACAACCCAGCTACAGATGACAGTTCCTAGTATCCGTTATTACTACATGGGCTTCTACATCCATTCGTGTCCTAAGATGAAGTATAAGGTAATTAAAGTTTTTTGTTACTACTTTCTTGTTATTAAGAAATAAATAAGCGTATTTCGTTTGAACTCAGCACTATGCACATAGGAATATGTTTTGCAGGAATGTGCTGCTGCTAGACCCTGAAAGGTCTTCCTTTCAAGTCAGTGGCACTGTGACCGGCTCTGAGGCTCCGAGGGAAAGGGTGCAGTCAGACAGAGCGATACTGATAGGAGGCTCAGTTGTGAGGGGGACAGAAAGGAGATTCTGTGGCTGCAGAAGAGACATCAGGATGGTGTGTTGCCTCCTGGGTGCCATTCTCAAGGATGTCTCTGAGTGGTTACAGAACATTCCGAAGGGGGAGGGTGAACAGCCAGAGACCATTGTGCATATCAGTACAAATGACGTAGGTAGACAAAGGGATTGAGTCCTGCGAAATGAGTGTAGGGAGTTACGTAAGAAGTTAAAAAAGGACTCAAAGGCAGTGATCTCTGGATTACTCCCAGTGCCAGTGAGGATAGAAACAGAAAGATAGGCCAGATGAATGTGTGGCTGAGTAGCTGGTGTAGGAGGCAGGGTTTTCAGTTCTTGGATCTTTGGAATCTCTTCTGGGGTAGAGGTGACCTGGACGAGAGGGATGGGTTGCACTTGAACCGGAGGGCATCCAGTATCCTTGCAGGGAGATTTGCTAGTGTTACCCGGGAGGGTTTAAACTCATTTGGCAGGGGTTTGGGACTTTGAATAAGAGACGGGCTATCGAGAAGTCGGGGAAAATCCATTAGCCATCGAGAGCAAGTTTACTATTCTGGATAGCCAGAGGCACAGTAGAGGGAGGGAGAAGACTTCTGGTTTAAGGTGCGTTTATTTCAATGCACTAGGCCTGACCGGTAAAGCAGATGAGCTCAGAGTATGGATTGGCTCTGTGGACTGGGATATTATAGCCATGACAGAAACATGGCTGAGAGAAGGACGGGACTGGCAGCTCAATGTTCCAGGGTACAGAAACCACAGGCATGACAGAAGTACAAGTAAGCAAGGAGAGGGAGTTGCTCTTTTGATAAGGGAGGACATAACTAAAGTGCTTAGAGAAGATATTCTTAAGGGGTCATCAAATGAAGCCATATGGTTAGAACTTAGAAACAAGAAGGGATTGGGACTATATTATAGACTCCCAAATAGCCAGCAGGTACTAGAGGAGCAGATGTGTAGAGAAATTGCAGATATCTGTAGGAATAACAATAGTAATTAGTAAAATGGTGTTATCCATATGGACTTTAGTAAGGCCTTTGACAAGGTCCCGCATGACAGGTTAATCAAGAAGGTTAGGTTGCATGGGATCCAGGGAGAGCCAGCTAATTGGATTCAAAACTGGCTCGATGGTAGGGATGGTTGAAGGCTGTTTCTCGGACTGGACGCCTGTGACTAAGTGGTTGGTGTTGGGACCTTTTGTTATTTGTTATTTGCATAAATGATCTGGATTTGAATGTACAAGGCATGATTGGTAAGTTTGTAGATGATACAAAATTAGGAGGTATCATTGATAGCAAGGAAGGTTATCAAAAATTACAGAGGGATCCTGATCAGATGGGGAGGTGGGCTGAGGTTTGGTAAATGCAATTCAATAGAAATAAGTGCGAGGCGTTGCACTTTGGAAAGCCAAACCAAAGTAGGACTTGTACAGTAAATGGTAAGGTCTTTAGGTGTGTTGTGGAACAGAGGGACCTAGGAGTACAAGTACATAGTTCATTGAAAGCGGCATCACAGGTGGACAGGGTGGTGAAGAAGGCATTTAGCATGCTGGCCTGAGGCAATGAGTGTAGGAGTTGGGATGTTACGTTACGGTTGTATAAGTCATTGGTGAGACCGCACTTGGAGTATTGTGTACAGTTTTGGACACCCTGTTATAGGAAAGACATAGTTAAATTGGAAAGTGTGCGAAGAAAATATGAGGATATTGCCAGAACTAGTAGGTCTGAGTTATAGGGAGAGGTTGGCCAAGATAGGACTTTATTCTTTGGAACATAGGAGAATGAGGAGTGACCTTATTGAGGTGTATAAAATCATGAGGGGCATAGATAGGATGAATGCATATAGTCTTTTTCTCAGGGATGGGGAATTGAAAACTAGAGGACATAGTTTTAAGGTGAGAGGGGAAAGATTGAAGAAGGGTAGGTCGTGCCTCACAAACCTTATTGAGTACTTTGATTAGGTGACCAAACAGGTGGATGAGGGTAAAGCGGTTGATGTGGTGTATATGGATTTCAGTAAAGCGTTTGATAAGGTTCCCCACGGTAGGCTATTGCAGAAAATACGGAGGCATGAGATTGAGGGTGATTTAGCGGTTTGGATCAGAAATTGGCTAACTGTAAGAAGACAGAGGGTGGTGGTTGATGGGAAATGTTCATCCTGGAGTTCAGTCACTAGTGGTGTACCTCAAAGATCTGTTTTGGGGCCACTGCTGTTTGTCATTTTTATCAATGACCTGGATGAGGGCATAGAAGGATGGGTTAGTAAATTTGCGGA